GAGCTGGGAGAGCCACGGCTGGCCAAGTGAGCCAGCCAGGACTATCCAGTAGATCGGGGTGTGGTGGCTGCACTGGGGAGAGAGGCAGGAGAGTCAGGCGGAGGCCAGGGAATAGAGGCCTTTTGTCTTTGTAAGACCTGTAGGCGGTGGGGAGACTTCGGAGAATTAAAGTTCACGCTCTCTTTAGAGGATGAGATGATCTGCTAGCAATGGATGGTTCTATGGTTTTGAAACAGTGTAGAAATTCTTGAAGCAGAAGAGAGGTAAAATGCTTTATGACTTTCCCCCTTTAGAACCTAAACGTTTTATAAAGACATTAGGGCAAATAACCAAACTTAATGGAGTCAGAGGAGTCCCTGGGTGGTGCAGACGGTTAAGCGCTCGACTACTAGCCGAAACTGGGTGGCTTGAACCCATCCAGAGGGACTACGGAAGACAGGCCTGGAGATCTGCTTCTGAAAGTCACAGCCTTGTAAACCCCATGGAGCACAGTTCTACTGTACGTACATGGGGTTGCCATGAGTCAGAGTGGACTTAACGCAGTCAACGACAGTGGAGTTAGAGGTACCTGCAAAGTGGTCAGAGTGCAGAATTCTAGATTTTTATGATTTTTTTTTTCTCCCTAGTCTTTTTATGTTTATGTAGTATTTAATTGCTAGGAGCCCCAGTGGTACAGTGGTTCAGTGCTTGGATGTTAACCAAAAGATTGGCAGTTCAAACCTACCAGCTGCTCCGTGGCAGAAAAGACCTGGCAGTCTACTCCTGTAAAGATTTACAGCCTAGGCACGGTCGAAAAAACAAAAAATAACAAATGTTGAAGAGGCTGTGGGGAGATTGGAACACTCATGCTCTGCTGGCGGGAATGCAAAATGGTACAGCCATTTTGGAAAACGATATGGCACTCCTTAAGAAGTTAGAAATAGAAATACCATATGATCCAGCAGTCCCACTCCCAGGAACATATCCTGGAGAAATAAGAGCCCTCACGCTAATAGACATACGCACACCCATGTTCATTGCAGCACTGTTCACAATCCAGAAAGATGGAAACAACCTAGATGCCCATCAACAGATGAATGGATAAACTATGGTACATACATACAGTGGAATACTAAAAGAATACTAAAAAAAAACTTGTTGCCTTCAAGTTGATTCCAACTTACAGTGACCCTAAAGGATAGAGTAGAACTGCCCCATAGGTTTTCCAAGGAGTGCCTGCTGGATTTGAACTGCTGACCTTTCAGTTAGCAGCCATAGCTCTTAACCACAACACCACCAGGATTTCCAATGAAATACTGTGCAACTATAAAGAACAATGATGAATCTGTGAAACATCTCACAACATGGATGAATCTGGAGGGCATTATGCTGAGTGAAATAAGTCCATCACAAAAGGACAAACAGTGTATGAGGCCACTGCTAAAAAAACACATGATAAGGTTTACACAACAAAAAGAAACAATCTTTAATGGTTACAAGGGAGAGGAAGGATGAGAGGGAAAAACACTAAATAGACAGTAGATAAGTGGTAACTTTGGCAAAGGCTAAGACAGTACACAGTACCGGGGAAGCCGGCACAGCTTGTCCAAGGCAAGGTCATGGAAGCTGTATAGATGCATCCGAACTCCCTGAGGAACCACATTACTGGGCTGAGGGCTGTGGGGACCGTGGTCTTGGGGAGCATCTAGCTCAGTTCGCGTAACATAGTTATATAAAGAAAATGTTCTACATTCTACTTTGGTGAGTAGCGTCTGGGGTTTTAAAAGCTTGTGAGTGACAATCTAAGATACTCTGATGGTCTCACCCCATCTGGAGCGAGGAAAAAGAAAACCAAAGACACAGGGAAAGATTAATCCAAAGGACTAATGGACCACAACTACCGCAGCCTCCACCAGTCTGAGTCCAGCACAACTAGATGGTGCCTAGCTACCACCGATGACTGCCCTGACAGGGATCACAATAGAGGGACCTGGACAGAATGGAAGAAAAATGTAGAACAAAATTCTAACTCGAAAAAAAAAAGACCAGACTTACTGTTCAAACAGAGACTAGAGAAACCCTGAGAGTATGGCCCCCAGACACCCTTATAGCTCAGTAATGAAGTCACTCCTGAGGTTCACCCTTCAGCCAAAGATCGGACAAACCCATAAAACAAAATAGACTAAATGGGCACACTAGCCGCCCAGGAGCAAGGAAGAGGATGCAGGTAATGAGGAACCCAAGATCAAGAAGGGGAGAATGTTGACATGTCGTGGGGTTGACAACCAGTGTCACAAAACAATATGTGTATTGTTAATGAGAAACTAGTTAGTTTTGTATAACCTTCATCTAAAGTACAATTAAAAAAAAAAGATTTACAGCCTAGGAAGCCCTATGGGGCAGTTCTACTCTGTCAGAGAGTATCTATGAGCTAGAATTGACTGGATGGGCACACAACTAGTATTTAATTAAATTAGGTCATCATAGTAACAAAGCAGGCATACACTTGAGAACAAACACAAGGGACTCGTGGTAACTCAGTAGGAATTTAAGGGGGAGTAGCTGGAGCAATTAGTTGCTGGGCCATTGGTTAAAGGGAAGAGCGACCATTAAGTAGGTGATAGCCAGCAGTTTCTACTGGCTTTATATTGTGACCATTTTGTAGGGCACGTAAAATAATTGAAAAGTTCTTGACCCCAATTATATTTTAATAGACTAAAATTTTTTTCCTTCCAGCCATTGTCATAAAGTACAAAGGACCATACATTTTTTTTTGTATATTTTATTTTTGGTGAAAATATACACAACAAATCACCCATTCAACAATTTTTAAATGTAGAGTTCATTGACAGTGGTTACATAGTTCGTATTGTGCTCCATCTTTCCTGTCTCTGAAAGGGCCATACATTTTTAACTTTATCTTTCAGAGGTATGTCTAGTTTTCTTTGTATCTTTTTATCTTCAAAGATGGATAACAAAAATGTGTTGCCCTATTTTGAATTAGGAAGAGATGATTTTCTCATTACCTTTGGTAATGAATGTCTGAAAGGGGATCCCAGAAACTGTGTGCATCACAGATAAAGCAGGAGCCTCCACACACACTGTTCATCTGAAACCTCAGGGTTGTTTGAGGATGACGGCTCTTCGTGTTCTTTGCTTTTCATTATGTGATTTGGCTTTACTCTTACTGTTTACAAAAATAACTTCGCGTACATTAGACAAGAGCAAGAATTTTACATTAAAAAAATGGAAAGGGAATGACAGTGCTATCTAGATTTCATCTTCTGGCCAGCTTGGATATTCAGTCTGTAAAGGGTGGTTTTTCTCAGGAAAAGGGGCATCGGACTAGAAATGCTGTGAGAATGCTAGGCAGACAGGTAGCTGTCCTAAACATTCTCTCTATATTAATTCATCTAATTCTCATTGAGTTGGATCCATTTTTATCGCCCCCATTTTACAGATGGAGGAACCGAGGCACCGAGGAAGTGACTTCCTAAGGTTACACAGAATAGGAGTGGTGGAGCCAGGTTTTGGGCCCGTACATGTGGTCTAGCTCCTCAGCCCATCTTAGAGAGGCTGTCAGCTTCTCCACTGTGTTCCAGGCACCGGGAATAGTGCCTGGCAGCTGGTAGGTGCTCAGTCTGTGTTTGGTGAATAAAAAGCCTCCAGAGGCGTTAAAGGCAGTCCTGGACTGAGACCCTGTGTGAGTGGGAGAGGGGCTGGAGGAGGAGGTCCACAGATGAGGGGCCGTCTGAGAGCTTCAGACAAACTGGGCTGGAAGTGGTCACCTCACAGGGAGTCACAGTGACCAGGGACCTTCCAGTAACAACTTGGTAAGCCTTCCAGCCGGACCCCGTTTATTTCTCTGCGGAGATTAGCAGCAGTTAGCAGCCACCAGGGCTCCCCAAATCAAAGACGCCCCGAGCCCGGGAGCTGGCGTCACCGAGAGCGGCCAGGCGGGAGCTGCCCGGGGACTTCTTCCAGGGGTCT